TATTATGGGTCCTTATTATAATGCATTTAATAATCAACAATTCTTATAATATTACAGTATTTTAAAATACCATTATTATTGTTGTTGTTGTTGCTGTTATTTCTATTATTATTTATACTTTGATTTTGTTAATTATCTAATTAATTATATTTTCATTTTTTTTCTTGGTAGATTTTCTTATAATGCCGCCAAAGAAGCGTAAGCTTATGCCCCCAGCACCAACAGGCAAATGTCGACTTTTGCTTGAAGAACGGTATAAAGAGATTCCTGTTGATGCTGAAGACTTGCTGAATGGTCATGTGGTTTTAAAATTCATGTAGGAGTCAAAATTGTTTGCACCAACTACAAAGTTTTTTGCTGAACACATGGGCTTACAGATTACAAAGAATAAAATCCAGTTACTTGTAAATAGAACAATTAAAAAGTACACTCATATGAACAGAGAGAAGGAAGTTTCTATGTTAATAGCTAATTGTGATGAGAAGTACAAGCATGAGAAAAAACAACAAGAACCGGGAACTTCAGCAGAACAGGCAGTTAGACGAAAGTTGACCCAAACAACTTCTTTGGTTACTGTAACACCATCTACATCTGTAACAGTATGCAGTATGATAAGTTACTAAGAGAAAATGAAGAGCTAAGGAAGAAGTTAAAAGAGAATAATGATAAATTACTGGAGCAGGAGAATTGTATTTTACAGTTCAAGGAACAGTTAAAGGAGGCTGTTGAAGAACAGAGCAATGACTGGAATTGCAAGAAAGATGGGACTACTACGCTTAACAACAAGAAAAATCCTAACAGTAAATAATTTGACTTAAAGCTACAGTACTTAAGCTAAGAATCATTTCCTAAAAAGCTTGTGCATTATCGGCATACTGTAGATATGCAGGACTGGGCTCCACCCACCGGTGTCGAAAGCAACGTCGCTGTCACACCCGGGTGCACGCAGGCACTTCGTTAGGTAGTATGCTGGGCTCCGGTAGCTTCCACCTCAGGATAAGCCCTCGGCTCTACTACCGTGCACTGCAAAAGACA